TTCTTTTCTTTTTCTCTCTTTTTCTGTCTGGGTCTCCTGTTCAGTTAATCACTCACTCATTCACATCCATCCTCTCAGTTATCCTCTCTCTCTCTCTCTCTCTCTCTCTCTCTCTCTCTCTCTCTCTCTTTCTCTCTCTCTCTGATTGTTTATGTATATGTATGCGTGTCCTTGTTGCCAGGAATGAGAATGACAGACTTAAGCTTGTATTTCCTTCGCTCTGCTTTACATTTTCTTTCTTCTTCTTTCTTTCTCCCATTCATTCTTTCTCTTCCCGCTCCTTCTCTTCTACTTCGTCTCCCTCTTCATCCTCCTCTTCCACCACCTCCCTCTCCAACATCCTCTTTTACCATCTTCCTCTCACCCTCTCTCTTCCTTCCTCCCCTTCCTTTCGTATCCCCTGATATCTCCCCCATCCTTCTTCCTTCTTCATTCCCTCCCGACTTTTTTCCACCCCACCTTCCTCCCCCTTTCTCTCTTCCTCCTCTCCTTCCTCCTCTCGTCTTAGATCCTCCTCGCTTTTCCGATTTTCTGGATGAAGGAAGGCAGCGTCCGGGCGTTCTCGATCCGCGCGGGGGGGAGGGAGGCGGGGTTGGAGGTGGCCAGGAGGTGTCTCACGAGGTCCCGGATGTTGCCGCCGTGGACCTCCCGCGAGTCCAGAGGCAGATCTGAGGGGAAAAAAAGAAAGAAAAATGGCGGTTAGATGCTGTATGGGATACGTGATTATTATCATTTTTATCATTATTATTATTATTGTTATTTTTGTTCTTGTTTTTGTTGTTATTTTAATTATCGTTGTTATTTTTATTATTGTTGTTCTTGTTACTAATTATTATCATCACTATTATCAATACCAATACTATAATAATTATCATTATTTGTAAATAATAACAAGTAGCTTTTTCATTAAATTATAGGATAAAGAATTAGTTATGGGAGAGGGAGAGAGAGAGAGAGAGAGAGAGAGAGAGAGAGAGAGAGAGAGAGAGAGAGAGAGAGAGAGAGAGAGAGAGAGAGAGAGAGAGAGTAATGAAATGGTTATAAAACATCTTTTAAGAGTCTTTTTTTTACATCTTCCTTTTCTTCTCTTAAATTGCACCAATTAAGAAATAAAGAAAAGGTTATCAAATACGTCGGAATTAATTATTTCATTAAGCAGTTTATCATTTCGCCTGAATTGAAAACTCGTCAAAAATATCATTATGATCAAGAGATATACTTAAAAAAAAATCTTCCTGGCCACAAAACACAATCAAAATAACAACAATAAAAATACGTTGTAATTAAAAGGAAAAAAAAATAAAACTACGAATGAACGCGCACACAAAAAAATCTAATTAGTTTTTTTTTTTTTTTTTTTTTTAGAAACTGTGATTAGGAGTGACGCACAATGCAGAGTGAAAAAAGTGAGATTACGATTAAATTTTGTATTTGGCTCCGTGTCCCCTGCTTCCGGCCAGGACTGCGGGGAATAAGGTCTTCGGTTAATGAGGGGGGGGGGGAGGAGGAGGAGGAGGAGGAGGAGGAGGAGGAGGAGGAGGAGGAGAGGAGGAGGAAGAGGAGGAAGAGGAGGAAGAGGAGGAGGAGGAGGAGGAGGAGGGAGGGAGGGAGGGAGGGAGGGAGGGAGGGAGGGAGGGAGGGAGGGAGGGAGGGAGAGAGAGAGAGAGAGAGAGAGAGAGAGAGAGAGAAGAAAAGAGAGAGAGAGAGAGAGAGAAGAAAAGAGAGAGAGAGAGAGAAGAAAAGAGAGAGAGAGGAAAGTGGAAGGGAAAGAGATTTATTATTGCCTCGTGGGGTCTGCAATTCCCATTACCTGATTCTCCATCATTAAACCTTTTTTTTGTCATTATCCCAGTCACCATTATCACTCTCCTCTGCACATCATTCACCATCACGACAATCCTTTTTTTTCTCCAGCGTTGAAGACTAAGTTAAGTTTTTAAAATAGAATCACTATATATTGTCAGACGAACTAGTGAAGTGATTTCATGGACTTCACATTCAATATTTTTATGTCATGTTCACTAATCTTGACTTTTTTTCCGGGCTGACTCACCACTGCAATCACGTCTGATTTGCACCATTGCAATATTTATCCTATAAATCATTGCAACACAGCCTCTAGCTACATGATTACCCATTACAGTAATTTAATCAAATCTTTGTTTTGCCATCTTGCGGGAGACATGTAGATTCGCCGTGCAAGGAACTACATCGCCAAAAAAGCTTATTTACGTAATTAATTATGGATCTGCTGCCAGTGGCCTTCGGAGGGAGAAAAAGACACGAGGGACGTCTCGCCCTCACGCCTCATCCACCAGTCTCATACACCAGCCTCATCCACCAGCCTCATCCGCTTGCCTCATCCGTCTCCTCACGCGCTCGCCCCGCTCTCAAACTTACTCATTTTTACCCTCACGCCTTCCCTCCTTTACCTCCCTCCTCAAACCCAAAAATTCATTTTCCTTCAACCCCCTCCTCCTCCTTCACAATACCCCTCATCTTCCCCCTCCTTCCACCTCCTCCACCCCCTACCCACTCCATCCCCCATCCTCCCCCTCCCCCCCCATCCACTCCACCTCCACCCACCCTCCCCCTCCCCTTCCCCTCCTCCACCCCCCACCCCCCACCCCCAATTCTACCCCCAACCCAAGCCCTACAAAAGCCGGCACACCTGCCCACCAGCCCATGTAATATATTCAGCCAGCGTTTGAGAATTCAGCGTTTTCGACATGCTAAACTCGAGGGCGCCGGCTTGAGACAATAACCCGGCTGTTCCCTGAGCCTTGCCCCGCCCCCCCCACCCCCACCCCCACTTAGAGACGCCCCTCGGGTTCCCCTCGGCCTCCTTCGGGTTCGTCGGGTTCCTTCGGGTTCCTTCGGGTTCCTTCGGGTTCCTTCGGGTTCCTTCGGGTTCTTCTTTCCTCTGATCCTCCTAAGCCTTCCTCTTCCTCTTCTTGTGACAGAGGGAGGGAAGGAGATGAAGAAGATGGAATGGAGAGATGGAGGAAGGGAGGGAGAGAGAGGGAGAGATAGGGAAAGAGAGGAAGAGAGGGAGGGAGGGAGGGAGGGAGGAAGAGAGAGAGAGAGAGAGAGAGAGAGAGAGAGAGAGAGAGAGAGATTGAGAGAGAGAGAGTGAGAGAGAGAGAGAGAGAGAGAGAGAGAGAGATAGAGAGAGATGAGAGAAACTGACAAACAGAGCTGGGTTGAAGATGATATATTAATAAACCGACGTTTGGACTGCTTTTTATTAACATACTCTTCGAAAATACCAAAAAGGCTAAAGCGTAATAATAATAATAATAATAATAATAATAATAATAATAACAATAATAGTAATAATAATGAAAATAATAAAAAAATGAAATTCACACACACACAACACACACACACACGTACACACACACACACGTACACACTTGCCTATCCTCTCTTAGCTCGTCCAGTCAGCTTAAAGGCAACCGCCGATAAGGTAAATTACCTATGGATTACCTTATTTACCTGGGGCGTTTACCTGGGGAAGGTAATTAATAACTCATAGATTCCTCCCACGATACGAGCTGTGATAATCATGCCGGTTATCTCCCTACGATTAGATTTCTGTTGTTTTAATATGCCGGTTTTAATATATTTAATAACTTGGCTTGTTTTAAAATGTTTTAATATGTTTTAGTTTAAAATTTGTTTTTTTTTCCTATACTTTCTTTCTTTCTTCCTTTCTTTCTTTCTCTCTCTCTCTTTCTTTCTTTTCTTTCTTCTTCCTCTTTTTCTTGGTTATCTATTCTATCATTTATTATTCTTTCTTATACCTCTCTTTCTTTCTTTTAAGTTATATTTTTAAAGATATTTTTTTACCCCTCGACTCTCTTTCAACTTCGCCCCCCGCCCCCCCCCCTAGTCCCCGCGCTAATCTTTTCACTCCTTCCCCCCCCCCCTCCCGCCGCCACTTCCCTCCCCCCCCCTCATCTACCCCTCTCACTTCCTTCCCTACCTTTTTTCTCCTACCCCCTCCTTCCCTATCTCTCCCCATCCTTCACTACCCTTCCCTTGCCCCCCCCTCCCCCCCTCCCCATCTTTCCCTCCCCCACCCCTTCGCTATCCTTACCTCCCCCCTCCCCCCCAACCCTTCCCAAGTACCCGCGGCTTCCCTATCCTTCCCTCCCTTCCCTCCTCCCCACCCTTCCCTTGCCCCCTCCCCCCTCCCTACCCTTCCCAAATACCCGCGCCTGCCACCTGTTCGCTTAATTTCTTGTCCTTTTTTGGTTCCCAATCATGTTCTCATTATGACTAATGTTTCACCTCTACGCAGCCAAGCCTTAGCCCTCTCCACCCTTTCTTCTTCTTCTTCTTCTTCTCTCTCTCTCTCTCTCTCTCTCTCTCTCTCTCTCTCTCTCTCTCTCTCTCTCTCTCTCTCTCTCTTTCTTCCTCTTCCTTTCTCACTTTCTCTTTCATTCTATCATTATCAACATTATTATCACCATCAACATTATCATCATCATCGTCATTATTAACACCATCATCATCACCGCCACAATCATTACTCTTCTCTCTCTCTCTCTCTCTTTCTTTCTTTCTCTTTCTTTCTCTTTCTCTCTCTTTCTCTCTCTCTCTCCCTCTCTCCCCCCCCCTCTCTCTCTCTCTCTCTTCCATCTGCGTTCACTCCACCCAGTTCGACCTTGCACTCTGGCCCTGTGGTCCCTTTAATGTCCTTAATGCACTCATTACCTTCCCTCTTTGCCAGAAAATACTGCCTTATCATCCTCAACAAGTTCCCTCTGTCCCCATCCCCTGTGTTGCGTCGTCCTCCTTGGTCTCCTGTCCCACTCCCTGTGCTTGTACTTAGTGTGGCTATAGGTCTACTGATTGTTATGTGTTATTTTCTGTTTGAGTTGCTTTGATTATATTTTCTTAAGTGGTATATGTCATTATTTAATTCTGTCTCTGTTATGATAATTATATGAAGCCGAATGTGTATGCCTGTTCGAGATTGCGTGTACAGATACATGTACGTAAACATGTATAAATAAATGAACATGTATATCCCTTTCTCTCATATCCTCTCCTTTCTATTCACGTCCGATTTCATCTTCTCTCCTCTCTTCTCTTCTCTTCTCCTCTCCTATCCCGCCCAAATTTCTTCCTCTCTCCTCTCACTATCACTACCTTCCTCTCTTCCTTTCTCCTCGCTTCTCCTCCCCTCTCGTCATCCCTCCTCCCCTTCCCCTCTTCCTCCCGTCCCCCCCTCCTCCTCCTCTTCCAGCGCCCATAACCGTCAAGTCATGTCAAATTTGAACTTGGAAAACATTTTTTTGTTTTTTTTATGAACTCCAGTCTACGAGCGAAGTGCCTCTTGTAACGAGACCCGGAGTGGCTCAATCTGGACAAATACAGAGTAAATAAACGCGCAAGCACATGTCCTTATTTGCGTGTCCCAAACCTCTCTCTATGTTGATCAGCCAAACCGTAATTATTGTTGTTGTTGTTTTTTGGGGGCTGCTTCTTTTACGAGTCATGTTACGCGTCCGGGATGGCGGTTGGGCCGAATTTGGGACAAGAAGATTAAAGACAATGAAAACAGGTGTCGACAGGAACGCAAAAAAAGAAAAAAGAAAAGAAAAAAAATCAAGAGAAAGAATGAATGAGAAAAGGAGAGAGAGAGAGGGGAGAGGGA